TTTTTCTCGTGAGACTTTTTTTTTTTTTTTTGCATTTTAGGTTTTGGGGTACATGTGATGAACATGCAAGATTGTTGCATAGGTACACACTTGACAGTGTGGTTTGCTGCCTTCCATCCCCTCACCTGTATCTGTCATTTCTCCCCATGCTATCTCTTCCCACCTCCCCACACCCCCGCCCCTCCCCCATTTCCCCCCAACGGACCCCAGTGTGTAGTGCTCCCCTCCCTATGTCCATGTGTTCTCATTGTTCAACACCCACCTATGAGTGAGAATATACAGTGTTTGATTTTCTGCTCTTGTGTCAGTTTGCTGAGAATGATGGTTTCCAGGTTCATCCATGTCCCTACAAAGGACGTGAACTCATCGTTTTTGATGGCTGCGTAATATTCCATGGTGTATATGTACCACATTTTCCCTATCCAATCTATCATCGTTGGGCATTTGGGTTGGTTCCAGGTCTTTGCTATTGTAAACAGTGCTGCAATGAACATTCGTGTGCACGTGTCCTTGTAGAAGAATGATTTATAATCCTTTGGATATATACCCAGTAATGGGATTGCTGGGTCAAATGGGATTTCTATTTTTAGGTCCTTGAGGAATCGCCACACTGTCTTCCACAATGGTTGAATTAATTTACATTCCCACCAACAGTGTAAAAGTGTTCCTATTTCTCCACATCCTCTCCAGCATCTGTTGTTTCCCGATTTTTTAATGATCGCCATTCTAATTGGTGTGAGATGGTATCTCAATGTGGTTTTGATTTGCATTTCTCTGATGACCAGTGATGATGAGCATTTTTTCATATGTTTGTTGGCCTCCCGTATGTCTTCTTTTGTAAAGTATCTGTTCATATCCTTCGCCCATTTTTGAATGGGCTTGTTTGTTTTTTTCTTGTAGATCTGCTTTAGTTCTTTGTAAATTCTGGATATCAGCCCCTTGTCAGATGGGTAGGCTGCAAAATTTTTTCCCATTCTGTTGGTTGCCGATTCACTCTACTGACTGTTTCCTTTGCCGTGCAGAAGCTGTGGAGTTTGGTTAGGTCCCATTTGTCTATTTTGGCTTTTGTTGCCGTTGCTTTTGGCGTTTTGGTCATGAAGTCCTTGCCTACACCTATGTCCTGAATGGTTTTGCCTAGATTTCTTCTAAGGTTTTATGGTAATAGGTCTGATGTTTAAGTCTTTAATCCATCTGGAGTTAATTTTGGTGTAAGGTGTCAGGAAGGGGTCCTGTTTCTGCTTTCTGCACATGGCTAGCCAGTTTTCCCAACACCATTTATTAAACAGGGAATCCTTTCCCCATTGCTTGTTTTTGTCAGGTTTGTCGAAGATCAGATGGTTGTGGGTATGTTGTATTTCCTCTGACACCTCTATTCTGTTCCATTGGTCTACATCTCTGTTTTGGTACCAGTACCATGCTGTTTTGATTACTGTAGCCTTGTAGTATAGTTTGAAGTCCGGTAGTGTGATGCCTCCTGCTTTGTTCTTTTTGCTTAGAATTGACTTGGCTATGCGGGCTCTCTTTTGGTTCCATATGATAAGGAGCTTTCTCTAGAATGTGCATCAACTGTGTCACTTTCTGACAGTTCAGTTCCATCCACTATTTATTTCTGCTGATATTGTTTTTTTAGTAAGTCTTCCTTTTTGAAAGAAACAGTGCCTTCCTGTTCTTTTCAGTCATTCTCTTACTCTGCAAGAACTTCTGTAAATGAAACCATAAACGTGTACTAGTTTATGTCCGGCTTCTTTTCATTAATATTATGTATTTGTGAGTTGTAGTCTCTTTATCCTTATTGTATCATCTTCCTTTGTGTGAAGATAACTACAACTTATCTTATTGTTCATGGGCATTTAGGTTGGTTCCAGTTTCTGGCTATTAGAATATGCACTATTGTGAAGATTTTGATGTATGCTTTTATTGGTGAACATTTATTCATTTTTGGTGGGAAAATGTGTAGGAAAGAGATTCCTGGGTTATAGGATATGCTGATGCATAAAGTTACTGTCAGTTTTTCAAAGTGATTGTGCCTGTTGACACTCTTCATTGGCAGTAAATGAATGTTCCAGAAATTTCACCTTCTCTATACTTGGTGCTTTCTGCCTTTTTGCATTTTTGATATTCTGGAGTGGGTATAGTAGTATTGCATTGAGATTTTGTCTTATATTTTTTGATAACTACTCACAGAGCAACTTCACATATGTTTATTGGGCCATGTGTCTTCTGTTGGGTTATTTGTATTTTTTCTTAATGATTTTTAAAAAGTTATTGATATATTTGGATATAAATCTTTTATTTTGTGTCAATATGTAGATGTTTGTATGCATGTGTATATTTACATATTATATTTGTACATTATATTATCTACTGAGAGTTGCTTTAGAAATCTCCTAATAGTGTTTATTGATGATATATCTTACCTATTTTGATATTGTCTAACTCTATAGGTTTTCCTTTTATTGTTACCAATTTTTTAAACTGTTTGTGAAGCCTTTTCACACCTTAATATCATGAATATATGTTTCAGTGTTTTACTCTAAAAGTGTAAAAGCTAGGCGCTGCTGTTCCAGAAATGAAATCAGACATCATCTCCTTTCCAATGACTCACAAAAGCAGCCGTTCCTGATTCAAAGGCCGGTTTCTTGACTGCGAGTGCTCACTTTTGCAAGCTTTACTTAATGTCACATAAATCCCCCTATTCTCTAGGTCTTCTTTCTTTCTAGTTCGCCTTAGTATACATGACCTCTCAAGGCAATGACTTCCATGCCCATAGCTTCAGTTGCTTTCTCTATTTGCTGAAGACAATAGAGTTTTAAATTTAAAATATTAGCTTTATTTTATGTAAGATCCCTCATTTGCTATAACCATAGATTCAGAGTTACTCCATGGAAGTAATAAAAAATGATGATCTACTTAGCATGTAAATTTTAGGAAATTTCCCCAGTTATTCTTAATGGTTGGATTTAGTTTGTGTGTTATTTTTAAAAACATATGTTGGGATGTCACAAATGGACTTAGCCTACAGAGATTTATATTCAGCTTTGACCAGAGAGTTCCATTTTAATGTGACACTAAGCATAAAAAACTGTCTTTTCCTCCTTACCTATTTCTCTTCCTACATTCTCTGACAGGAGAAAGGTACAACTCTGTACCCAGTCTTCCCCAGCAGAGCCCGAGCAGCCCTGTTCTTCCCTCTACTTTTCTGCTTTCACATCTCATGATCAAGTACTTCTGATTCTGTCTCCCCAATAATCACAAAATTTTTTCCTCCACTTTTGTCACAGCCACTGCCTTTAGCATCAGTCTTCCTTTAGATAGTCTTTTAATTGGTCTTGTTGCTTCCTTCAGTCCTTCCTTATACAGACCACTACACACACATCTGACAGAGACTCCTCATCTTTGTATGGTTCAATGACTCAGATTTTCAGAATAAAATTAAAACTACCCCTGCGTCAAACCTGGGTCCAAGTAGAGGTGGGTTTGTATCTCAGGTTCATACACTGTTGAGTAATGTGGTCTCACAAAACTGAACTTATTAAGCCTTTGTGTATCTGCCTACCCTCATTGAGATTGGGACTGTTTCACACATACGGTGTCTGGCATGTAGAAGGGACTTCATCAATGCTGAATGAACAGGAGGCATTTTAAAATTCACATTAAAAAAAGAAAACTTTTTTTTTTTAAATATGCCAATCTATAATGTCACTTCCCCTCCAAGCTTGACTTCTACCTGTACTTTCTGATATGGTTTAGTCATGTCCCCACCCAAATCTCATCTTGAATTGTAATCCCCATAATCCCCACATGTTGAGGGAGGGACTCAGTGGGAGATAATTGGATCATGGGGGCAGTTTCGCCCATGCTGTTCTTGTGATAGTGAGTGAGTTCTCATGAGATCTGATCGTTTCGTATGTGTTTGACAGTTGCTCCTTCACATGCTCACACTCTTTGGCTGCCACCGTGTAAGCAGTAATTGCTTCCCCTTCTGCTGTGATTGTAAGTTTCCTTAGGCCTCCACAGCCATGTGGAATGTGTCAATTAAATTTTTTCCTTTATAAATTACCCAACCTCAGGTATTTCTTTATAGCAGTGTGAAAATGGAATAATGCACTTTCTGATAATCACGCTTGAGGAATTGGGGAATTCATAGTACCTGAGATCAAATAATGGCCCCAGCCTGGGCAGTCATGTGACGTTGGGGAGATAACTTACCTTCTCCATCTTAATGTCTTCTCTAAAACTGGTGAGATTGTTTCTGAGGGCTAAATGAGCATAGCCCACTTGGAGCACTATCAGGCACATACTGCTTGCTAGGTGTTCAGTATTCATTTTTATTGAGTTAGGACTGTGGTAACTCACTTTATGGCTCTTGATTCTGTATAACAAAGTCATGCTTAGTGCTTTGTTAGTAAAAGAGAGAAAATCTGAAAGTCCCTGCCATCAAAGAAAGAAACAGGGGAGAAAGGGAAGTTGGTAAGTTTCAGCACTTTAGAGCTTGCGGGGACAAGTTAGGTTTCTATTTTATGGAGAAGGAGGTGGAGGCAGGATGGGTTCTAAGGTGTCATTCAAGACACACAGCCGTAACTCTTCAGTGAGAGTAGAGCTAGGGCCCCAGGGATTGCTGTGGTCAAGTTGCAGACAAAAACTAGCTACTCAGTTGGAAGGACAGGAGAGGAATATTTCAGGTGTATCTACATTGAGTCAACAAATAAAAGTTCAACTTGGTTGCTAATGGGACCCACTCTGCTAACTGCCACTTTGTATAGAACTCCTAGAGGAAGATGGCTTCCAGTAATGAACTGCCCTGTTTTTAGGACTAAAAAGCTCAGGAAGCTGGTGGGTGATGAATGAAAACCTTAGTTCCACTGGCACTGAAGGAGGGGCCAGGAGAGCAGGGGCATCATAAGCCACAGGGTGGGGTAGCCCAGGCAGTGGGGGAGGGGCAGCAGCCAGGGCGGGGCATTGTGAGGTTTGGGGCGGGGCATGGTGAGTCATGTGCCTGGGCTTCCACCTGGGCCAGTGGGCTTCAGTCTGTAGTGACTGCAGAAGGAGGAGCAGCTCCTTTTGTGCTCTCTTCAGGTAGTTGTATCTCTCAGCGCTTGTTGGGTTTCCCAACCTATTAAATTAGCCATCTGTTTTTGACCCTCCCAGACAAGTCAACTCAGGAGAGGCAGCAGGGTGCGGGCCTTGGCCCGAGCCCCGGCTGGGGCCGGGCTGTGGGGTGGCCAGGTGAGCCGCCGGCAAGACCATCTCTGAAAGTGCGGCATAGCCTCGGCCTAGGGCAGCAGGAGTGCCTGGCCATCACTGTGAGCGGAGGCACAGGTGGCAGCAGACAGGAGTAGAGGCGCCCCATGGGGAACATACTGAGCTGCTGTGTATGCCCCAAGGTCTGCCAAGAGTCGGACCAGGATGAGGGGTCAGGGTGTCCTCCTGAGTCTAAAATCTGTGAGGCAGCAGCTGAGGACACGGCAGCAGCTGAGGACACGGCAGCAGCTGAGGACACCGCAGCAGCTGAGGACACGGCAGCAGCTGAGGACACCGCAGCAGCTGAGGACACGGCAGCAGCTGAGGACACCGCAGCAGCTGAGGACACCGCAGCAGCTGAGGACACCGCAGCAGCTGAGGACACGGCAGCAGCTGAGGACACCGCAGCAGCTGAGGACACGACAGAAGCTGAGGACACCGCAGCAGCTGAGGACACGACAGAAGCTGAGGACACGGCAGAAGCTGAGGACACGACAGCTGAGGACCTGACAGGAGCTGAGGACACCACAGCAGCTGAGGACACGACAGAGGCTGAGGACACGGCAGCAGCTGAGGACACGGCAGAGGCTGAGGACATGACAGAGGCTGAGGACACGACAGCAGCTGAGGACACGGCAGCAGCTGAGGACACGACAGAAGCTGAGGACACGGCAGCAGCTGAGGACCCGACAGCAGCTCAGGACACGGCAGCCCCAGCGCCCACGGCTGCTGCTGTAGAACCTGCCGAGTTGACTGTTGAAGCTGGTGAGGACCGTCCTGTGCATGACATCTGTGATGGGGAGATGCCTGAAGGTAAGGAGGTGACACTGCCATCTGCCCTGGCCACTCCTCTGGGTGCTGGTGTCTTCAAGGTGCCCTGGGTGTCATCCCCTACCTCAGGCTCCTTTTTGCCTGTAGCCAGCTTTTCCAGGGCTGGTCAGAAACAGAGGCTGGCTCTGCCTTGCGTTCCTTTTTCCACCGCTTAGTCTTTCTCCACGGAGTCCAGTCAATTTCTTTTCTCCTCCCTTCCCAAACACCCAGTTCTTGCTCCCTCATCTCATTCTCTCAGGCTGACCTGGGACCATTTATTTATGGCTCTTCTTGTCTGTAGCTCTGTTTATTATTCTGTAGGGATTTTGTTGAGGCTTTTTTGGAATATTCTCTTCCTTTTTCCAATAAAAACTCAAATACCCCAACTTTCCAGTACCCATCTCATTCTTTTTTTGTACCTATCCAGATGGTACCTAAGTGAAGGAACCAGGTAAGTGCCTAATTATTTCTTTCATTAAAGTAGCTAAATCTCAGGACAATTCATACTGAAATATTTGGGGAGTTCTTTGAAATCAGAATGAAGGTTGCCGTGGGAGAGATGAGAGGATATTCTTAATGGGTTGCTTTAAGTCACCTTGATAGGTGCTTATTTTTTTTTTTTACTGTAATTTGAACACAAAAGGAAAGAAAATGGGAGGGTGCTTAAAGTAATTGTGAAAGGTATGAAATGTCATGGCCAGGGCTGCAGAAAAATGGGTGTTTGTTTTTCCCCAAAGGAGTTTACCTATGAGGCTCTGATGACTTTAAAATTCTTACTTTAACACAAAATGTGTCTCTAGATTTATTCTGGTGACTTAACAGACTTTATGTACCTCCGTGTTCTAAAAGAGAGGTATAGGATGGTTCGTGGTCAAAACTTTGAAAAGACATGGAATGTCAATGTAGACTTTTAACATGTAACATGAAGATTGAATGTTAAAACTGTGGAGAGTGTTTGCTGCCATGGCTCTCCCTTTGTCCTTCTCCCACCTGACAATAGCATCTTGTGTAAAGATAAGAAAGTAAAGCGTAAGAAGCTGGAAGCCATCATTCTCAGCAAACTAACACAGGAACAAAAACCAAACCCCACATATTCTGTCTCATACGTGGTAGTTGAATAACTAGAACAAATGGACACAGGGAGGGGAACATCACACACTGGGGGGGGTTCATTGTGGGGTGGAGTGTAAGGGGACAGAGAACATTAGGACAAATACCTAATGCATGTGGGGTTTAAAACCTCGATGATGCATTTATAGGTGCAGCAAACCACCAGGGCACATGTATACTTATGTAAGCAAAGCTGCACGTTCTGCACATGTATCTCAGAACTTAAAGTAAAAAAAACAAAACAAAACAAAAAACAAAAAAACAACATTGGTTGGGCTCTTAGTTCTTTCCAGAGGTAGAATAATTAAGACTCATGATGAATGTGACTTTGTAACTTGGAGTACAATACTCACTCTTCAAGACGTTTAAGAATTTTGAATAAACATATATTATGTGAATTGATTATACCTTTATACACAGAATGTGTAAATACTTGTGTAAACTTATACTCTGGTTGCTGGTGTAAGGAAAGCCTGTGAGTGATTTTACACAACGGTTCATAGATGGGTGGTGTTGGATTAGAGAACAAAAGAGGCTCTTTATTGCGATTCTTTAGGATTACCGTACAGTTCATGTATGTCTCTTTTGGCCCCTTCCAATACAAAGAAGCCTTGTGTGTGTTCTCCTTATGTATTCCTAATGAAGAAATGAAGACAGAGATCTCACATGACTATGGAAGACAGCTGCTCAACGGAACTAAGGTTCTGTGTCTTCAGAATGACATGGAAGTGACAAATATACTGAATTTACTTTTAAAAAAATTTTTAAACTCCAGAATACATCTTATATTTTGTCTATAAAATAGGCCTGTCTTTTGAAATGTATTGCCATCTTGATTTATTTTATGCAAAGTTGATTTTACACAACTCAAAGGAAACATTTACCTCTTCTTTTTTTTCAATAAAAAAGAATCTCAATATGTTACTCATGCTGGCCTAAATTCCTGACTTGGATTCGAGGGATTTTCTTATCTCATCCTCCTGAGTAGCTGGGAGTACATTTCATGCACCACCTTGTCTGGCCTCGTCTATACATTCATTTCAATGGATAAGAATAAAGTAGAGGTATTAAAATGGCCTCCTTGTAGAATAAATGAGCTGATATATTGTTATAATGATGACATCTTTTTTCTTTTCTCTCTGTATAGATAGGGCTTTGGAGTCCGACCCTTCTGATCATCCAGGAGCAAAGAAATCTCAAGCAGATGGTGAGACAACATTGTTTTTTTTCCACCAAGAAAAAGAGTGAAAACTCTTGTTTGATGAGGTGTATAATAGAAAGTGTTTAGCAAAGCTCATATTGGTTTAAATTTTTAAATTTTTCACATAGTTCACTTGTGTTATTTTAACATGTGATATACTTTCCTTTAGTTGTTATCATGCTAGTGAAAACATGTCAACTTTTTGTTTATACATTTTCCCATCTTTGTATCAGCACAATTTGTTATGTAATGGAGGAGTCTTAGATTTATCTTTATGTTTAATTCTTTGTCCCTTTTCCCAATGGATAAGGAATAGAAGTATAGGTAGTGAAATGGCTTCCTTGTCAAATAAATGAGTTGATAAATTGTTATAAGTGATTACATATTTTTTCTTTTCTCTCTGTATAGATATGGCATTAGAGTCCAACCCTTGTGAAGCAAGGAAATCCCAAACAGATAGTGAGACAACATTGTTTTTTCCGCCAAGAAAAAGAGTGAAAAATCTTGTTTGATCAGATGTATTGTAAAAAGTATTTAGAAAAACTCCTATTATCTGACACAGTGGGAGGTCTCTTTCCCCTCCTGGATTTCCCCTCTGGGGTCCCGCTTCCACACACTCTCTCGGGGAAGCTTTCTCTCTTCTCTGTTTCTCTCTCTCTCTCTCTCTCTCTCTCTCTCTCTCTCTCTCTCTCAATAAATCACTTTTCTGCAAATAAACAAACAAAAAGAAAAACTCATATTAGTTTATTACCAGAATGAGAATTTGCTTCTTACCATGGGAATGGCACCAAACCATTCATAAGGAATGCTCCGCTATTACCCAAACACTTCTCACTAGGCCCTGTTCTCATAAGGGTTCCATTTTAATCATGAGATTTGGAGAGGGAGACATATCCAAACCATATCAGAGGTGTATTTCCCAGTTCCTTCCAGAGACATGGGCTTCTCACACCTGGAGAGCATGAAAGCCAAAAAAAGAAAAGTGATTCCATGTCCGTCATACTTCAGTGATAGGAATGTTTGCCTACAAGGCCCTTCCAGCATTAAAGGTGGAGGCAGTATAGGAAATAAAGCATGGCCCAAGTCCCTCTTGGAGCTTTTATTAGTCTGGCTTTTTTTTTTTTTTTTTTTTTTTTTGCTGCAGACACCATGTCCAAATTAGGTTTGTCTACTTATTTTAAGATTTAAATTTGGCCAGGTGTGGTGGCTCATGCCTGTAGTCCCAGCACTTCGGGAGGTGGAGGTGGGCGGATCATGAGGTCAGGAGTTTGAGACCAGCCTGACCAAAATGCTGAAACCCCTTCTATTAAAACAAAAACTAGCTGGGCATGGTGGGGTGCGCTTCTAATCCCAGTTACTCAGAGGCTGAGGCAGGAGAATTGTTTGAACCCTGAAGGCGGAGGTTGCAGTAAGCCAAGGTCACACCATTGCACTCCAGCCTGGGTGACAGAGCGAGACTCCTCCGTATCAAAAAACAAAAAAGAACAAACAAACAAAAGATTAAATTTAAGATAGGTTACTTTTCAGTTGTGTGAAGACCCTGTTTTTCTTTGTTTTGTTTGTAGCAACGTATTAGTAGATGACCACTGATTGTGGTTGGAGAGGCTTACAGGGATTCTGGTGCATCTAGAGATGGGTGCCTGGCCAGGAAGTAGTTCTTAGAGCTGTTAGCTCTTAGATTCCAGTAATTAAGCTATGTGTGAATGCAGAATGGGAGAATACTAACGGATCAGGGCTCATATATGCAACAATTAAATTTTTTTATTAGCTAAATGTTTCATCTGGCCTAATTTTTGTGCCCTTTTGTACATGAGTATTATTTCACTCGTATGTAATAAAAACGGAAAGTAAACTATGTCAAAAATCTAAGTTTTTACATTTTACTTTATGAGATTTATCATGACAGTGAGTTTAAATTATAAATTGTTGAAATTAATTTTTTAAATGGAATTTTCTCTGATTGCACATGGGAGTAGTCAGTAAGATGTTAACAACTACTTTTATTTTATATTGTTTGTGTCAGAAGTGACCGGGTTTTTTTCTTTCATTCTTAGCACAAGAAATAGGAGAAAACAGCGATACAAACCATGTAAGTAAATAGTCAAATAGTCGAGAAATTGATACTTTGATGTAAAAGTATGTCTCTCTTGATTCCTTTAAATTATAATGGGGACCCAGTGGTATAGGATGGACCTCGTTTCATGGATTTTCTGAATCTTTTCTACTTTCCTATCAAATTTATCCTGAAAAGTCTTCAGCTTAGTGTGCCCACCTTTTAAGGATTGCTGACACTCAAGTTAAATTTTAATAGTTGGTTGTGGTATAAAGATCTATTTTAAATATATAATCTAATTTTTAATGAAATAACAAAAATAGAAGAGCTCAGTTAATTGTCAGTATGGACTATTGACCCTCTGTCACAGCAGGTGAAAGCATATCTTCCTTGCTAACCATGACCTTATTTTTCTCCCTCTGTTTCTTTCAACTGTAGCACACTTTTTAATTCAATCAGTAATATTGACATGATTATGACTATCCAAATATTATTCACTGCTGAGTTATATGTTGTTTTCACGGTGTCTCTTCGTTACATATTCCTTCATCCTTTCTCTGAAACAGTTCTGAAATCTGAGCACTTCTGCACTTCTTCTGGATCATCTTTTTTTTCCTAGCCTATGCTGGTTCATCCAGCCAAATGCAATAAGTAGCCTCTGGATGGTCTGTCACTTTATTGAAAAATAATAATTATTGTTAAATTATATTTTACATGTAATTTACATTTCACAGCCATTATTTTTTAGCATGAAGCTAATTTTCTGACGATATTCATTTGCCTGTTTTCTAACAGCTGATCCCTCCCCCTCAAGTGTTGCAGCATTTATCACATGCCTTTCAAAGATATTTTCCATCTGCTAAAGCATATCTGTTCCTCTTTGTTTTTGGCGGGTGGTGGGCAGCCTTTCTTTGGCCTTTTGTCATCCTAGTTCAGTATAGAGAGGCTTTCCCTAGAGATGCTTGATGTCTTAGTCTATCTGTGCTATCTCTTTAAAGTCTTTTGGGCTCTCACATAACTGCTGTCTTGTGTGGGATCGCCAAGATTCTGTGTTTCCTTCTGTCCTGTTATCCTCTCTAGTTGTACTTAAGCACACTTTCCTGGGCAGAGATGTTTAGAGATCTGACCAGTCTTAAAATTCTTCTTCCTTGATAGAGAGTAAACTTCTAGGTTGAATCTAAATTTTATGGTTCTGAAGATACTCTGCAATTGTGCTCTCATCACAGTGTTGTTCTTGAATCTATTGCCATTGCGTGACACGTTATTTATAACTGCGTTTTATGTATTTTGGAAGCTTTCTCGGAGGCTTTTCTGTCTCTGAGATTCTGAAATTTCATAATAACAGCTTGGTGGGGGATCTTTTCATTTACTGAGGCTACTAAGTCTGCAGACTCTCTCTTTTTGAGAATGTTTTTTATTTTCTCTGTTCCTTTTTTCTGAGAGTAGTGTTACTCAGGTGCTAGGCTGCTTAGACCAATAGACCTGATTTGGTTTCCAATTTTTTCCCTTCAGCTTTTTTTCAGTTTGTCTTTTTATTCTACATCTGGGGTATGCTGTGAGTTTATCGTCTACTATATCTATTGAATTTTATGTATTTTTTAGAGTGTTTTAACATTTTAAATAAGTTTTGCTCCTGATTTTGACCAGGTCCCATGAATTTTGTGTGTGTTGTTTCAATCTCTCTTGTTGGAGGCTTTTCTCCAATGTGTAGTGGTCCCTGGCTGGCTTGGTTGATTTGGAAGCAGGACTCTGTTAACTGATGACACTCAGTGTGAAGTTGTGGAAGCAACTAGCTTTTCTTTTGGGAAACCTCAGTGTATTATCTGGGTATCTTTATTCGAGACAGTTTAGTTTCTTGAGAATATTCTCCCAAGTTTCTGCCTGGCTACTTGCTTTCCAAAAGCAGAGTTGGGGAAGAAAGTTGGAGTTTCATTTTTGGTGTATAGTTTTCTTTATATCTCAGGTTTAATCTATGGTAGTTGGGAGCCAGAAATTCTCAGGTTTGGTATATCCAGGGAACACACATCTAAGTTTCTTATCAGATGGGAGAACAGGTGGACCTGAGTCCCTAACCACAGATTTTCAACTGACCTTGGTGGCTTTGTTTTACATTTTGTACTACTTTTCAAAGTGCTGTTTGCCTCTAA